AAAAAAAAAAAAAAAAAAAACGAGAGATTTTGTTCATTCAACAAACACTGCTTTTTGGGACATGATTTTTCTATGTGAGATGTGGCATATATAGTGACAATCACTATGTGAAACAGCACAGAGTTCAAATCAAAGTTGAGACTGTATTATATTTCAACTGGGAATTGTCAAAGCATAACCTGATTATTTCCTTTTTACTATATTATGTTAATTTTTAAATTATCTTTTTGAAATGAATTGGTATAACATCTTGTGGTAACATGAGGTAATGTACGAGATTTTTAGAAGAAGAAAGAAAGTAGGATAAGGATTAACATTACTTGATAAAAACTTTTCAAATTTATTACTGATTATTTCATTGCATCCTTACAACAATTCAACCAGGTACATAAAGAAGGCAATAGTACTTCTTAACTCTCTGTGTTAAAAACTTAGGACCAAACAGGTAAACCCATATTAGCAGGAAAAGCTGTCTCTAGAATCCAGGGTCTTACTCCTTGGAGAGTAGAGATGCTCTGTTCAACTGAAATGTTTCCAGAGTTACTGTTGTATTTTCTTTTTTTGATACCAGGAATCGAATTTGAGACCCTGTGCTTGCAAGGTAGGCGGCGGAACCACTGAGCTAAATCCCCAACTCTGTTGTTATATTTTCTAGATAGTTTGAATTTGGTAGTAATAACATTAAATCTAATAGGGAAGAAAATTGTGGTAAAAATTAAAACTTTCAAAAGGCCTCTTACCTGTTCAATGTTATAACCACTGTAAAGGGCAGCTAAATATCCACCAACAAAAGTACCAGCAGGAAGCAGATACAGGTAATTGTATTCTGGGGGATCTGTGGGACGCTTGAACATGTCCAGCATTCTCTGAGTCACCAGAAAGCCACCTTATCAAAACAAAGGAAATTCAAAACAGAAAAAGGTATCACTTTTGAGCTCAAGAAGAATGATATTTTTAAATGCTATACTTTACTTATTTTAATTATATCTTTATCATCTAGGGATAAATATAATTTTAAGCAACATTTTAGAACCTTGAAATCAAAGTCATTCCATTACTCCAGCCAGTTCCACTAGAGTGGAGGGAGAAAAAAAAAATCCTCTAAATTCAGTCAGGAAAATAAAACTTTCAATCAGAATGCAAAACCAATTATTTCTTCATGACTAAAAGTAAACAGCCATCCAAAGCTTGGAAATGCAAAAGATCAAAGGTTAGTATTTTTTCTAATATATTATTCTTCTTGTTAAACTCTAATACATAATAAAGAAAAAATATCATATCAATCAGAACCAGTTTACTTGAACACATAAAAACTATTTAACCACGATATAATATCAAATGCCTGATGTGCTAGACTTTCAGTTTTCAGGAATACTGGCTGAAATATGGCAAAGGACTAACATTTTATCTGAAATTATATACATTTATAGGTGTTACAGTGACAGCAGTAGTTCAATGTAATTCAAAACCATGCATTTGATAATTTTCCAGTTAATTTGTAGCCAGACATCATTATGTTTGTTTTGGGGCATGAGAAGACTTATTCTTTCATCAACACTTTCTAACAATTCTTAAAATTGGAAAGTCAACCTTATACTAATTTATATTTGCTTCTTCTATTTCCACTAAAAATAGCAATCTTGGCTCTTTCAGTATCATCTCAATATCATCATACCTGCAATGTTGACTGAGGATATGAATGTAGCAAGAGCAGCAAGACCCTGAGAGGTTGTGGAAGGATACAAATGACCTCCCATAAGTGCCAGCCCACCAACTGCGGTCAAACCTAAAAAGAAAACATCACTGTGGTGAAAAATTGCACTGACACCTCCAAATCAAATGACACAGCTAAAGCGCCTCACATATAGATTCAGAAAAGGGAGAGTGGTCAACGTCAAAAATAAAGAGGCTTTCTTGAGCCTTCATTAAAATGACACAATTTTCCTGATGCAAAGTGTTGACAGCACACCTTCACACCTTTCTCATTTTAATACTGTTGTGGGCCAAAAGGTAACAAAACCTTTTCTTCTTTTGCATAAAAATCTTGGCTTCCTTCAACTCTCCAACTCTGTTTCCCTGATAAAGACATAAATCAACAGTGACACCAGATAATATTGTTTATGGGGGAAAGTGACAGCTAACGGATGCCATGCAATTGGACTGGAAAGAACTAATCATGAATTATAAATACCTGATTGGGATGTCATGGCTTTGGACTTCCCTGAATACAGTACCTCTTCAAACTGGAGTGTTCCCTGAAAAAATCCTGGCAACATTTTAAGAGAGTCCTGTTGCCTGACCACTGTAGGTCTCATTTCCTCATATCTGAGCCATTACCCAGGAACAAATGTAACAGTTCCTAGGCAGCTGTGTGACTCCCTGCATGGACTGTTATGAAGACTCACACCAAGAAATGCATGATAATATACCATTAGAAAGCTGGTTTTTGGGCCAGCTGGGAATTTAGCTCAGTAGTTCTGGTGCCTGCCCTATACTCTTCACTGTGAACCAATGCCACTTGTATATCTTGCTGCACCAATGCCTAGTTGACTAACAGCCCCCAGAGGATGTGACTGATTCTGTGAAATTCTGTGCACTCATTTTCAAATTTCATCAGTGGAATCTACCTTAAAAGAACTTGTAACTAGGCCAGGGATTTGGCTCAGTGGCACCATGCCTGCCTCAGAAGCACAAGGTCCTGAGTTCAATCCCCAGTACCAAAGGAAAAAAAAAAAAAGAAAGAAAGAAAGAAATTGTAACTGAAAGAGCAGCCCAAAGAGATGATATGCACAATGGCCTCTCATTTCACAAACCTACTAACCTTTGTGACCCCTCTGGGACCTCACAACAACCACCTCCCATACCAGGCAAAACAATTTGCTAACACAGACTTTATAAACCTCATTGTAAGCATTCCTAGAGCTGTGAAGATGAGGGAAACAGGTAAAGAACAAACCTGAGATTGCATTTGTCACAGACATCAGTGGTGAGTGGAGAGCGGGGGTCACTCCCCAGACAGTGTGGTACCCCACAATGCCAGCCAAGCCAAAAGTGGTCACCATCTGAGAAAAGGCTAGATTGGGAGCCACAACGCCCAAACCCAGTATCCCAGTGAGGCCTAAGAAAGAGAATAAAGAGTGTGAAATAACATCCAATTATCTCAGTAAGATTAAAAGCACACACACACCCACACACAAACATGTGGAAGAGTCAATGTTTTAAATTCCACTCCCGTGCCAATAATGAGCAGATTTTTAGACATTTGACAACTGCAAAGTAGAGGAAAGAAGCAGATACTATGGACAAAACCCAACTTTCTGACCACTCCTCCCACCCAAATAAATTGTAACGATCTAGTAATATTTATAAGTCACCTTAATAAAATTTTGCACATTTTCCTCTTCATCCCTGTTTTAACTTTCATTGACAATGCCACATGTGTTCATACAGGAATTTTTATTCCAAATTATAGGTCTTTAGAGGCGCTACAAAGCATTTTCTATTTGGGTAAGACATAACCTTTAAAAAACAATACTTTTATGAAGCCAATTTTATGTCACTCTCAGATTTGGCCAAGGAAGAAGGGTTTTAAAAGAGTAGGAAGGATTTCATTCACTCCAGCACCTCCCCAAAACATATGGCTTCCACCCACCCGGGCCAGGAGTTTTGCAATTGCTCCCGAATCTGGACTGGACTGCTGGCCAGGGCAGTCAGCTCTAGCCTCAACATCAAGTCAGCAAACAGGATTTTACAAAGAAAAGAAAAAAAATACAAATTAAATTAAGAATGTGCACAATACAAACAATCAGCTCTGAACATACATCTTTAATTATCGCCTTCCTTAATAACAAACATGTGGATGGCTGTTCCACAACTGAAGAAAGGGTTACCTAGTGGTCAGTAAAAACATAATGATAGGGTTACCAGGAAGCTGAAATTTTACTCTCCTTAATAAGGGACTTTTTCCCTTGATAGAACTATGATTTTATAAGTGGCATAACTGGAACATCAAATATCGACATTAATTTTACTTTATAGCATTCAGATAGACTGCAGCTTTAATTTATACTTTCTTACCCACATACAAGATTCCCAACTTTTTAAAGCATGGCCTGTTATCCATCTGGAGGGAGAGTCAAAGAAAATGTCTTGTCTGCCAGTTAAAAATCAGAGAAGCTATATATGGTTGTGCTTAATCATGTTTTCTTAAACCATAATGCCTCATTCAAATCCTTATTCTGCTGCTTACTAGCTGTGCAATCTCAGTTATTTAACCTCTCTTTCAGTGCACTCATCTATAAAGTCATTAATATTCTGTGTCTGTACCTGGAAAAGAACATAATAATGTACCCACCTCACTGAATTCCTGAAAGGAATAAAAGCTAAGGCAAGTGAAGTATTTAGCACAACATCTAGCATTCAATAATTGCTAGCTATTATTCTGATCACATTCTTCAGAAAACACTAAATTACCATAATCCACAGTCCTTTGTGTTGGGCATCAAAGATACACATCACATCATACATGAGGCTTTGTTATGAATTATTTAATAATCTATTAGAAAGTAATATATCTTGATTCACTAAATAGAAACCTAGAAAACTAAGTCTACATATATGTCTTGCATATTTCCTAGGAATCTCAAAGAGAAAGAGAAATGTACGATCCCACTCAGAAAACACTCTGTGTACAATACAGTAATCTAGTTTTTTCTTCTTTTCCTTAACAAGTAAGTGCAAATAGGGACACTGCTCCATCTATTCAAACTGCTCACAACCAGAAGCTGTTGCAGTCATTTTGCTGAGATATGCTCTTTATTCAAGGAGAGTTACATATTTCGCTTTAAAACAGCTGAACTCACATGGGAATTTAGAGAATGCTGAGGCTACAAGAATTATGTGTGCCTCCTGATGGTGCTTAATGCTTTATAGTTTGCTTTTGTTTTGTTTTTATTTTGGCTCTAAGCAGATCTAAATATTTTTAATTCATTCTATGAGACAGAAACCAATTTAAAATCAAATTTTCCTTTTTCAGCATAGCCATAACACTATTTCTCACTCTTTAGTGTTTTCCTTTAGATGAATTTAAAAACAAGAACTTACACTGAACTGCAAAGAAAGAGATCAAAAGTAAAACATGAAATACTTTTACTAGATGAGTAAATTTGAATGTCAGTGAAACATGCAAGGGCTGTCTTTTATCCCATAATGCTTATCCTTCCAGAAGAATATTTGGCTCCCCAGTCATACCCAGCTGTACAGATACTCACAACTGATGTTTTACAAAGCATAAGAAAACTGTAACTACATTTATATGCACTTAACACCAGCACAATCTAACATCCATCACTATTAATATATTTGATGCAGATAAAAATATTAATGACTACATTTAAGATGTTTTCCACAGAAGAAATGTTAGCAGCCTGTATATCATTTCACATGCCTGCACTCATATTTAGCAAAGTGCCTGCGTCTCTCAAGGGAGTCAAATCAGTGAAGTCTCCAGTTCTACAATGGCAGGACAAGTAACAAACACAGTGGTTAAAAAAATAGGTCTAGCAAATGCAATTACTAATGGATTCCAAAGAACAGCAGCACTGCACTAATTTTGACAATTATTACATTCATTCAAAATTCAATAGGTAGATCTTGACCCCTAAGAAGCTCACCTGCTGTATATGCAGATGCTGTTGTCATTGTCTTCCTAAATGGTGTAACAGTAGCTGCTTTTTCAGCTTCCAGCTCAGCCACTGTCTTCTGTTTCACTGGGGCATCTTGAGGAATATTTTTCGGTGTGGGAGCTGGGAAAATTACTTCACCATCCTAATAGAGATTAGAAAACATTTTTTAAGATAAACAAACATTTCAAAATCACTGACAGAAGATAACTTACTACTGAAAAACACTCTTCTTTTAAATAGTGAATGAAATTCATATAATTTGTAACATATATACTATGTTACACATAAATAGATACAGAATTTTCATGTGTCTAGGACATATATACAAGAACATAGATCAAACTCTTAGAAGATATGTGAACAGAACATATAATTTTTGCTTTATTCAATTTACTTCTGGTTTTTAAAAGGAATTTATATTTTAAGTATATATTTCACGTATATAAGACTAAAATATTTTCTTTACATTATTATTCATTTTTGAACAACTGTATTGGCATAAACTTAGTACATCATTATTTTATCTGAGTATATCTCTATTACAATGTAGGCTTCTGCCAAGAACAGAAATCCTACAACAAATTTACCTTCAAAATACAGGGAACCACTCTTTACTTACCTTCATCACTACAGTTCCTCTAATGACATGACTCATTGTACCAAAATCAAAGTCATCTTTCACTTCAAAATAAAAATTATCCTTGTCGGGGCTGATGGCCTTCAGAAGTTTGGTGATGTTGTTAGAATACAGCGTGCTAGCCTGAGTAGCCATTCGGCTGGGAAGATCTGTGTAGCCTATATGAGTAACTCCCTAAGTCAAAAAATATATAGTTAAAAAGGCTCATTACTCTATGCTCACATCCTTCCTAGGACAATTCTTCAATGTCACATTTAGAAATATCTTTACATATACATACACATACCCACAAATGTAAATAAATGTACCATGTCAAAGAGAGCTTTAAATGTGTAATCTTAAATGCTGTAATTTTTTAAACTTTCAGGTCTCAATTTCTCCAAATACTTAAACACCCCTTCCCTGTGGGTTAGGATGCGGCTTTGTAGTATAAGACTTGCCTTGTACACATGAGACCCTAGGTTCAATCTCCAACACCACTAAATAAATAAATACTTTGCAAATCATTAAAGATATCAGAACTGAGCCAGGCAATGGTGGCACATGCCTACAATCCTAGCACTCAGGAGGCTGAGGCAGGAAAATTGCTGTGAGTTTAAGGCCAATCTGGGCTACAAAGTGAGTTTGAGGCTAGCCTAAACTATACAGTGAGGCCCTGCCTCAACTCCCCCCCAAACTGATATTCATAAGAACAGGATGCTTTTTTGTACCAGGCATAATGGTACACACCGATTTCCCCAGCATGCTGAGATGCTGAAGCAGAAGGATCACAGGCTTATGCCTCGTTTGATCATCTTAGCAAGACGTTGTCTCAAAGTAAAAATAAGTAAATAAGAAGGGCTGGGGATTAAACTTCAGTGAAAAACCCTGAGCTCAATCCCTAGTGGGAAGGGGGATGCTTTTTTGCTATACCTTATGAATATAAAGTTCTCCTGGCTTAGTGGTTTCAAAGTTGCCTCCAGCCTCAGCAGCTAAATCCACAACAACTGAACCCTCCTTCATTGATTCGATCATTTCTTTGTTAAATAAAACAGGAGCTTTCTTACCTAATAAAATCAAAGAAAGCAGTACAAATTATTACTTTATCCTTATATCTTCCAATTGTTGAAAGTCTCTGGGCACTCAGAAAATTAACATCTGAAATTTTAACTGTTTCTAAGACAAATGACCACTCTGGGTCATTCTCTTCAGGAAAAAAAAAAATTTATATATATGAGTGAGGGCTGCAAAGCTAGTGCACAAGAGGGACCCTTTTAGCTGGTGACAAGCTTCAACACATGCTCCACCCAGCTTACTTAGAACCACTACCATTTACAGAGAGAACCATTTCATTGGTTAAAAAAAAGCAAAGGGCAGGGATGTAGCTCAGTAGCGCCACACCTGCTTGGCAAGTGTAAGGTTTAATTCCCAGTACTGGAAAAAATAACAAAGAAATAAAATTTTAAAAACATAATACTAAGCTATTAGGGAACTCTATTCCCCCAAATTGAAGAATTCATAAAAATCACAAGTGTCAGGAATACACGTACAGTATTAAATGATAAATTCCAAATAGAATATTTCCACTTATCTTAACAAAATGCCACCAGATTTTCCTACAAGGGGTGATTGTTTAAATTAAAAATTTTGTGTTACAGTAAAAATTTGTGTTACTGCTGTTAATGTCCCTCAAAATATTCCCCCTCACTTGGAACACACTTATCTCACTGTTCTTGCCAATCTCTCAAGTAGTTCTGGACATCCTTTTTTGTGAGCATCTTTATAAGATGTGATTAAAATACGGGGAATACTGCTGCTGACTACCACCCAAAAGAAAGGCAGCCTCATAAAAACATTACTATGGTGTGTCCTCATCCACCTTTTCCGCTAGACCAGGCACTACATGCCTTCTGGCTCTTCCCCAAAGTCAAAATGTCTATGAAAGGTAAAAGTTCTGAAATGATTCAGGACACTGAGGCTGCCACGACAGTAAGACTAAAGATTCTCACAATAGAACTTTCAGAACTGCTTCAGAAAGTGGCAAGAATGATGCAAGAAGTATGCTCGAAGTCAGGGGGATTATTCTGAATAGGATTCATGGCAATGTGTCTCTTATCATCATAATCTTTAAATATTCGTTGTACTGATCAGAACTCATGTTACATCTTAATTTAACAAGAATAACTTCTAGGGGAGACAGGAAAATGCCATGAAATCAAAACAGAGGAATACCACAACTCTAAAATGTAAGGAATCATCACACACCTGCATTCCCTTCAACAGATACTGATCTTTATCTGTGGTAGTTCAAGCTCTATCTTGACCTGGTGCTTGGAAGGTCAAGGATGACAAAGAGCAATGGCCCCTCTTCGTGGAACACATTCTCTTCGTGCAGTATTTCACGTTTTTAACTCACAGTGTCCTTTTAAGAAGTACACTAATTCTTACATAAAGTATAAAAGCCCCTAAACTAGTGGTTTTTCAAGCTAACACACATCAAAATCTTCTACAGGGGCTCACACTGTCAGTTTATCAGAACTCGTATTTCATAAAACAATGCAAATACCTAAACCAAAAGAAAAAGGCTTGGGAGATTAGTAGGGCAAAAGAAGATAATAAATAGCCTTATTATCTTCACATCCTTTTTTTGAAAGTTTTCAATTCTGTGTTTACCAGCTTTTAATAAAAAAATATCAATTTTATAAATGTAAATCAATTAAAAATAAAATTGCATTATAAACATGTTTTCAATCCAGTTAACTGGTATACAGATGATTCACACCAGAAAAAAAAAACATCATTTGTTTGTAATACACGTTTTTAAAAATGCAGTGACACAAGTGTGATGTTTATGTGGTACTTCTTTTCTTTGTTACCAATTTCACACTTCCAAAATTAAGTCCAAATCCTAAATCTCCATTACTGAAGGCCTTCTTTCCTGAATTGAAGCTCTCTTTCAAATGTGCCTTGTTTTGACCTCACTGGACTTTCTATTCCATCCACTGTGCGCTAGCTGCCACATTTTTTATAACCTCTTATGTTCTCTTCCAAATCTCCATTCAAAGAGCAAGAATAAAAGAAACCATTAGCAGAACTAAGAGACAATCTACAATGTGGGAAAAAATTTTTACCAGCTGTACCTCAGACAAAGGACTATTATCAAGGATATATAAAGAACTCAAAACAATCAGTCCCCCCAAATATAAAGACCCGATCCAAAAATGGGCATCCGAAATGAACAGACATTTCTCATACAAAGAAGTAAAAGCAGCAAGAAAATATATGAAAAAATGTTCCACATCACTGGTCATTCGAGAGATGCAGATGAAAACAACACTGAGATTCCACCTCACCCCACAAAGAATGGCTGCTATCAAGAAATCACACAATAACAAATGTTGGCGGGGTTGTGGGGAGAAAGGAACCCTCCTCCATTGTTGGTGGGAGTGCAGACTAGTGCAACCACTATGGAAATCAATATGGAGATACCTCAAAGAGCTTGGACTGGAGGTTCCATTTGACCCAGCCATCCCTCTGTTGGGTATCTTTCCAAGAGAACTAAAAGAATCATATCACAGAGAAGTATGTGCACCCATGTTTATAGCGGCACAGTTTGTAATAGCTAAATCTTGGAAACAACCTATTTGCCCATCCGTTGGAAACTGGATAAAGAAGTTGTGGTTTTTCTATAAAATGGAATATTACTCAGCCATAAAGAGCGAGAGAATAGATTCATTCATAGGAAAATGGATACATATTGAAGATATACTCCTAAGTGAAATAAATAAGTCCCACATGTGTAAATACCAAATAGTTTCCCTGGTGTGAATATTCTGCAACAATGCATAAGATTCTAATAAGATTACTGACATTTAGAAATGGGAGGAAAGGAGCTAAAGGTGTAGGGAAGGTGTGATACGTAGGGGAAGAACAAAAAGGGAAAAGAAAAAAATGTGAGAGAATGAAAAGATGAAAATAAAGTGTTTGTAGATGGGGAGGGGAGGAGGGGGTGAAGGGAGGGCAGAGGTAAGGGGAAAAAATGAGAATCAAGACTTGCCATGTAAAGGTACATGATCCCAACAATGAATGTAACTGTACTGTATCCCTAAATGTACCAATAAACTCAATTAAAAAAAAAAAAAGATGCAATTTTCCTCAAGACAACACCCAAAAAGTCCTGGTATTGAGAATGTCTCACCAGTTTTCAAAATTCCCTGGAAAAAATCCTTTCCTTTAACCTCCCCATAGTGTCTAGCAAAGGCATCTTGAATATTTAACTAAACCCTAGTCAACACTGAAAATTTAAGGATGCAAGCCACATACAAGAAGGCCTCTTCCCATAATACAGGGCATTGTGGTAGTACTGTGGTAGCACTTTCCAGATAGTCCTGTAATCACCGTACCCATCCTCTTGTCCTAAGCCTCTCCTCTATTGGCCTGACTCTTACTCAATGCAGCTTTTCTTGCCACCTTATTTGCCTAAAACTATCCTTCTGTATTGAGATCCACCCCACATGACATCTGACTACACCAATTTTGAGGCCACCAAATCTCACAAATTGTATTTGGCATCTAACTAATTTCTCCTGCCCTAGAATTCCATATGCCTTCTTTCTTCTGAGACATCTACAGCTAAAGACAAGTCTCTATACGATAATGTTGCCACTGGCCAACACCATTTAGGTTCCCTAGAAATCATGAAATATACAATCTGTTTATCTTCTCTTACTCATTTAATGGGCACAAAATAATCATTCACTAGCTGATACAACCTTAGAAAACAAAAATATACATTTGCACCTCAGAGTTGATTTAAGCATTCTGCCCATACTGTTGCTCTGAAATTCAATCACTTTTGAAACAATAGCATTTTTTTTCATATTACCTAATTATTTAATATACAGATTGCATAGAATATTAGAATAGTTTAAAAATCCATTTAAGTCACAGGAATATTTAAAGGCATAGAATTTTTATGAAAAAGCATATAACAAAATAGTACATATGTTTAAAATATCTTTCTCCATGAGTGTTTCATATATACATACATAAAATACTCCCTAATTATAGACTTTGTAGTAAATTGTGTCATGCAGCATTAAAAATATTAGATATATTTGAGTGATTAGACTAATTTATTTTCTTCTCTGTACTTTTCCTTATCTCTGCAATGTTCTAATTTTAAAATAAAGAAATCTTAGTAAGGACTCCAGGGAATACAATGATGAATGTAACAGTACAGCTGCCTGAAAGCACTTACATGTGGATCAATTTTTTTTAATTCTGGAAAGTGCAGAAATAAAAATTTAAAACAGAAGGGGAAAGAACAGAGCCAAAAGAGAAGCAGGGTAGTAAATAAAAGTTCCAAAATGAGCAAATCCTCAAAAGAATAGGTCAACAGAGAGAAAGGCTGAGAAAGCAATTTCAAAATACTATCTTATTCTGATAGCCTGCTATGATAATACTGAATGCATGATAAATGTTACATCACAAAATAGAAAGAATAAAAACTATAAGACCATTAGTTGGGTACTGGAGGCAGGGGAGTGTGTGTCAAACTTAATACCAAACTTTAAACTCTAGTTTGAACAGAACTGATTCCAAGAGAATCAATCCATATAGGAAAAGAAAACAAAAGAGAACAGAATTTGATGAATATCTCTGTAGTCTCTGGGTAAAAGAATACTTCCTAAATTTAAAGTAAAGGAAAAATCAATAGATTTAAATTTGAAAAATGTGTGTATTATAATTCTCCAAATGCAGCTGTGCAATTGGGACAGTCTAGCAAAGAGCACAATGAAACACTTAGAAAGGGAGAGAGATATAATCAAAGATGGAGGCAGGAAGATGTATCCAGATTTTTTATAATGTATAACATAGAAGAAAATATATCCATTTTACTGCAAAATCATTCAAATATAGTGAGACAGTCTGGTGAAGGTCCTAGAAATAAGGATAAAAGACAAAATGAGTATATCAGGTATTTTAAGAAACAACTGAAAAAGAAAGCAGAAGCGTTAAACAAAGAACACAAGTAAGAGGGTTTTTTGTTTTTTGTTTTTTGTTT